AAGAACAGATGAATGGATAGGATTATGAAATCACCTGCCCTATCCCAAAATATTATGAAGCATAGGTTCAGTAGCCTTTTCTGGCAGGTTCTCTACGTCAGCCACCATACTTGTGCTTGTTGATGTGGTATGATGGCTGGTATCAACTGCTCTTGCAGCTTGATCACTCATAGAGCTTGTTGTGTCATCAAATTTCCAGCCAGTCAAGTATCCAGGCTTTGAAGTTACTCTGCTCACTTCAATATCTCCAGAAAGCATAGCCACCACACGAGACATTGATGGCCTTTGCATTGGAGATGTCTGAGTGCACAAAAGGGCTACTCCTATGACATTTTTCACTTCTTCTTCGTCAAATTCTAATATATTAGAGTCAATTAGTTCAACTTTACGGTTGTTTTCATATAGGTGCCAAGCCTAAAAAGCAGAAGGGAAATAATACATTATGGTGGAACAGGGATGGGTAAATTGCACTGTAAATAGAAAGTAGACATACAACTAAAATAAAGAAGCAGAGGAATAAAGGTGTAAAATACATTTTAAGTTGTTTTTCTTCCCTGACATTTTAAGTTGGTTGAAATTCAAATGACTATACTTTTAACATTCTAACTGATCTTATATAGGATTTGGAAGAATGTTCTTAGTAGTTTGATAAACTGTTATTCCAACTTATTCCTACAGTACATAGATTAGAGTAATGAAACCTGCCGAAAGTAAAATAGAAAACCGCGTGAATGCTTAGGGGAAGATTACCCCGTTAAAGAATATTTCCAGAATTTAAATATTACTATGCACTGTATATTTAACCATACTTTTCACTAGAAAGCATACATTCGTGTTCTTCTAGCATCATGGCATGAAAATTAATACAAATAAATGCACTTTTCGAAAGTATGGGTGTAGTTAAGTTATAATATGGCACTTTCGGTAGTAATTGAATATTTTAATAGATCAACATTTACTTAAAGAAAGAAAGAAGGATCAAATTGAAAATTAGTAAAAGAAGGATATATTTCATACCCATTCAAGAAGATACATCTTCTCTCCCTCCAAGCTCGAGTCAGAATTAGCTCTCCCACTGACAACTTCTAGAGCCACAACACCAAAGGCAAACACGTCAGTCTTCTCAGTAAGGTGTCCACGCATTGCATACTCTGGTGCAAGATAACCACTACAGAAGTAGGAACAGAGACAATCTATTAGTCATACATTAGAGGACTAAAACAACATGAAAATTAATGGCCCTAAAAAAAAACAGAAGAAGAAGAAGAAAGAAAGAAAATGAACTTGTTGAGAAGGATTAATGATGTCAAACTTGAAAATTATACATTGTCCCGGCAACACGGGTGCTTATGTGGGTCTTCGTATCATCATAAAGTTTCGCTAGACCGAAATCAGAAATCTTGGGGATCAGAGCAGAATCCAGCAAAATGTTACTGGCCTTTACGTCTCGGTGTACAATTCGAAGCCTTGACTCTTCATGAAGATAAGCCAGACCTCTAGCTACTCCCAAGCATATATCATAACGTGTTTGCCAGTTGAGGTTCAAACTTCCTTTTCCTGCTCAATTAAAGCCATAAGTAATTCTATGCTATGTTTCCATACTAGAAAGAAAAACATTTCATTGCATTGCAATATTTTCATACCAAATAGTGCCTTATCTAGGCTCTTGTTTTCAAGATACTCATAAACAAGCAGGCGTTGATCTGCTTCAATGCAGCAACCATGTAGTTTGACAAGGTTTCGATGCTGCACAGCAGATATAGTAGCTATTTCTGTAACAAACTGGCTCTTGCCTTGGCGTGATGCCACAGACAATTGCTTCACTGCAATTATTCTCCCATCATTAAGTTTTCCCTAGGGAACAAAATATTTCAAGTTAATAATAGAATACAATGTAACCAAATAAAAAGAATTCTTGTCTTCAATGTTCCCAATCTCTACTATTTCTCTGGAAAAAACTTTTTATCTGCAAGAGTTATCAATTTTGCTTTCTCCATCCATTAAAT